CAAATCAACTTTCAATGTAAAATTCAATTAAACAAAGAAAAAAAGTGTACCACAGACTATTGTTTATGCACAAATACATTTCACGCAGCTCACTTCAGGATTAACCTGCAGAAACCAAACATTTGCTCAAACAACACTTTCTATACATCTAAAACCAACAAACAACAAATTACTGAATTCTACGTACTTAACCAAATATTTTCAAACCAATTAAAGAGTATATATGCTAACAACACTTGCTCAAACTTACCAATTGTTTATATACAACTTTCAGTACGCGGATGCAGGTAGGCAGCGTCTCGAATATATCGATCTTGCCATATAATGCCGAAACCACAAGCCTACTGCAGCTCTATCTCTATCTGTGGGAGGTAGATATTGTATACTTCATATTGTCAAACGTTCCAAGCACAAGCATACGAGAGGACCACAATCCCCTCTGGCTCCCTGCGTTTATTGTGGCGCAGTCTCTCTCTGATCATTGTAATTTTGAATTTCTTTGGCTTCTTGTTTCTAGATTTTGTCCAATAATCAATCGCATTCAAGAATTTAGCCAAATGATCGCTCCATCTCTTTGTAATAATATCTCTCAAATCAGACAATGGTATGTAATTCAACATGTTGTCATATACCACTGTCTTCAGGGATGGGAGCTGAAGCTCTACGAGAAGCCAATGACGTTTTTCCAAAACAGGGATAAACACCTGCAATCATAAATAATTACGCACATCAAATAAAATTTATGAAAACCTTTAAAATATTCAAAAAAATAAATACTAACCTTATCGACCTCCCACCACGCAGGATAAAGTTTAGCTTTTCCATTAGTCAACTTATATGAAGCATCTCTCTGATCCTTCAAGTGAGTTGCGTGAAAAGACGTCGGCATAATAGTCCATCGAATACCTCTTTTCTTCAATTTCCTTATTATTAGAAGACGTGACACCCATGCATCAATATGTTGTTTTATAAAAAAATAAATATATTAGTGAATTTATTAATAATTTAAAAAAAATTAATCAAAATGCAATATAAGAAGAATATAATACTTACCCCCCCTTCGAGGTAGCCATTATCTTCAACCCCTAATAAAATACCCCACCAAAACCGATCAAGAAATAAATGAATAGCATCGTCGATTTGGCATAGGTCAGAATAACACCCCTTGCTCCGCTCATGTAGATAAAAATCAACTACGGTCTTAGCCCAAAGGTATTATCCGTAATTGTGTCTGGTAGTGTTTCCATCTCCTGCTGAGGAATGGTATTGGCCGGTAACTCACACGAAAGCCAACACGCATCCATCATATCGGGCACGATAGGTGGTTTATCAATATGTCGACATATGATGCCAAATGAATCGGGCTCTTGAACGGTGGGCGGGACCACTTGAACGATGACAGTGGTCTCTTGAACGGTGGGAGGGGCTTCTTCGATGATGATAGGGGCCTCTTGAACGATAGGAGGCGCCTCTTGAATGATGATAGGTGCATAGGGCTTATTCTTACGGAGTCTTGGCACTAGTGGGGTGAACGGAGACGTAATGGCATGTGCACGATGTCTGATGCGTGAACCCCGTCGTGCAAGAAAAACCCGACATAAAGCATCTACCTTAACGAGCCACTGAAAATAAATTAATATATAAATCAGTAAATAAATAAATAATGTCGAAAAAAAGTTATTTGCATTTTTAGTATAGTATTAAACAAATTTACCTCATTGCGTAGAGTATTAACCTCATTCTGCAATAATGAAACAATCTCGTGTAGAGCGGCAACCTCATCACGTAAGGTAGATACCTCACCGCGTAGCGCACCATTGTCATCGCGTAAAAAATCCACCTCACCACGTAAAGATCGAACCTCATCACTCCATGCACCATTATCTTCACATAAAGTACCGACCTCATGACGCAAAGCACCGACCTCATCACGTAATTCCCCTAACTCATCCCGTGGAGGTGGAGAACAGGGAGATGGAGATAGAAAGAGCCTCTTTATCGGTCGCCTATCATGAGGTGATGGTGGAGAAGAGGCTCGATGATGTGATGGAATAGGTGATGGTGGAGGTGGAGAAGAGGCTCAACCAGGTGATGGCTCCGGGTGTCGAGCTATAGAATCGGCCCGATGGGGTGATGGCTCTCGAAGTGGGGGTGCTCATCATTTGTCCCATCAAAAAACCGCTTACTAGCTTGCCACCAATCAGTGGCAAGCTCAGTATCTGAGAGTGTCAGCCTCTGTAATGGGTTGTTGGCCTCCTAACAATATAAAAGCTCAAACAAAGTTAAACGTGTACTAGTAATAACTTGTTTATATATGGTAGTATTTGTGTGTTAACTTACATCATTAATCGTCGTATATGGAGTAAGTCTTCCCAATCCAACATGTGTTTCCTCTTCCAGTAATAGCCCCTAGGAATATCATTTGATCTTTTTATCGCATATGTCCGCATGCTGGGGAAAGCCTCAAATATCCAAATCTACAAACAATATAATACACAAACATTAGTAATTGTTAAATAATTAATTATAATTTTAAAAACATTATATAGAAATTCTTACCTTAAAGGGCCAAGTAAAGCATGTCAAAGTGTATTTAGAACCATCGCCCCACAAACTTTTTCGGTCCTCGAAGGCAGACGACAACTTCTTCCAGGTAGCTTTCCATATATATGAACCCCACGAAAATATGTTCCATGTATTTAGGTCCTCTACCAATAATATTAGGTCCTTGGAGATTGGTTGTCTGTCATCTTTGCCTAAAAAGCCGGCATGCAAAAGTAGTAAATGGCATACTCGGATAACATCAAGGTCATCCATCCGAGTAAAACCATCTTTATCAAATAATCTCTTCAAGTCGTCGACATGTATACTCGGCTTCGACTTTGCCAGCTCAGGAAAAACCCGATATAACCATAATGGGCGGGCGATATGACTAGTGTACCGACTTACATCATCGTGTCTGAAGCGTAGACCGGTGATTAAGTAAAACTCCTCCCGCCCAAAACAAGTATACACCGGTGCCGGAGGAAAATGAAACCATATCTCTTCATCACCACGTTGTACCCCCTCTCGGGTTGATCGTTAGTCATGGACTGAAGAAACAAATGTGTCAACATAGCATCTCCACCCGGATGTTGTACTTTCAACCATGGCCTGAAGCAAGTATCCTCAAACAATTTTCTTTGTAGAGGTGTAAGCGTCGACGCAATTTTAGTGGCTATGCTTAATTTATTCCTTAAGGTCAATTGAGCCGAAAAAAATTCTACAAAAACAATAAACATACCAAGTTAGATATACCAAAAACTACAAATTATACACTACAAACAAACATGATATTAAACAGTGAAAACAAAGCAAATATGTTTCAAACTAGCACGGTATTCACCCAAGTCATTATTCCATCATAGTTCACAAAATGCATCAGATAGCATTCCAGAAGTAAGCGCTTATATAAACATTTAAAAGGACAACATATAGGTTTAGTGCAGGTTCAAAGACAACATAAAGAGTAGTAGTTTATTCTTCAAACTTAAATTAGCAACACTATAAAGTTAGTATTTGTCTTTATTTTTTGGTTGAAGAAATACAATTCATTTAAGTTTCAATTTGGCGAATAAAAGAAGTTTCTGAAACTTAAATTCGCAATGCGATTTTAGTTTCGCATTACGAATTTCATTTCGCGTTGCGATTTAGGGTTTCTTCAACAAAAAGATAAAACAAAAAGACAAAACAAAGACAAATACTAACTTCACAGGGTTAAAGACTAAACAGTTTAGCAGTATTGGCAGTAACCGAATGAATTTAGCAATCTCAGTGAAATAGTTAATCTAATAATAATACAAAAATTTCAAAATAAAAATAAGAGATTAAAAAAAACTAACCCTCGGTGGTTGATTTTTCATTTCTGACCGTGAATGGTTGTGAGGGTTGATCTGAGAGATGGAGATAGACGAATTTCGTCGGAAATGGGGGCGGATGTCGCCGTAGAGAGTGAGAGATGGAGATGAGATTGAGTTGTGCTTTAGGGTTTTAGGTTAGAGATGATTTGCGATAATATTGTTTACATTTGTGTTGCGAAATTAATATTGTGTTTCGCGTAAAAACATTTGACTTTCGCGTTGCGAATTTGACTTTCGCGTTGAGAATTTGACTATCGCGTTGCGAATTTGGAATATCGCAACGTGAATTTGGAAAATCGCAACACGAATTTGGAAAATCGCAATGTGATTTACATATTCGCGTTGCGAAATTGGAAACTGAGTTGCGAAATTGGAATTCGCGTTGCGAATTTGAGATCGCGTTGCGAATTTGTTGGTCATTATGGCAAATCCAAAAAAAGTTGGTTAAATTCGTATATTATAAGGCATTTTTGGTCACTGAGGTTATTTTCTCATTTTAAAATTTTATAAAATATGACTGAATTGATAATTAAAAGGTTTATATAATAAACTGATCAGGAATTTGGTGATAATCAAATGAATTCCGAAGTGAAATATTGTGTAATAAATAGTGCATAAAAAATTATAATATCAGCAATTATTTCCAAAAGGTTGCACAGAATTTAAACTGATTTATATATGATAGTAAGTTGTAAAAACCCTAATGTGTGCATCCAAAACAAGAGAAAGACAAAAAACCAAACTTGACTTTTCACTCTTTCAATATGTTTTGACAACATTGAGATGTTGTACCATACTCAGATTCATTATCTGTATCTTCCATAGCCACTATACATGATGTGTGGTACCTTAGCTATTAGTGCCCCAAGTGGGTAAAGGGCCCTTAGCCATTGATGAAATCATCAAGCCGACGTCACGTTTCTTGAAAACTTTCTTTTTGACCCGGCCGCCATGGCGTTGTCCCATCTGCTCCCAATAATGTTTGTTTGAAAACCCTAGAATTTGCATTCATATATTTTTACCCCATTTTCCTCCTCATGTGTCCCATATATATACTACATGTACATCCCCTGAGCCCTTTAAATGTTGAAGAAATTCACAACTGATCAATTTTCCATACATGGATTCTTCATATTTCCAATACCCATACTCTCAATTCTCTCCCCAATCATCTTCTTCCTTGGTTTCTCAAGAAACATTCAGCCAATCCCTTCCTTTCAATGAAAACGACTCTGAGGAGATGCTTCTCCTGGGAGTTCTAAACCAAGCAGCCCCTGAAAGCTATCAACGGAGCCCTAGAGGCAACGAAGTGAGCTCGAAAGCGATCAACGAAGAGAAAATTTCGTATAGAGGAGTTCGAAAGAGGCCATGGGGGAAATACGCAGCTGAAATAAGGGATTCGACGAGGAAAGGTGCGAGGGTTTGGCTAGGAACCTTTGATACCGGCGAGGCTGCTGCTTTAGCCTACGATCGAGCTGCATTGGCGATGCGAGGTTCCATGGCTATACTTAATTTCCCCATGGACAAAGTGTATCGATCACTCGAAGAAATGAACTATGGATTCGAAGAAGGGTGTTCGCCAGTTTTGGCAATGAAGAAAAGGCACTCCTTGAAGAACAAAAGAGGGGTGGTGAAGAAGGTAAAGAAAGAAAATAGGGTGGTTTTTGAGGATTTAGGAGCTGATTACTTGGAACAACTTCTTACTATATCTGATAAGCCTTACTCTTTTTGGTAATTTGGGTTTCTGAAATCAATTATCATTGTTTTATTGTAGTATCTGTACAGATGGAAGTTTAATCCAAGAACAAATAAAGAAATTGTAAAATAATGCATGCTGAGATTCAACTCTAATTCTTCTACCCACTATCATTTCAATAGAGGGAGGACTGATATTAGTGTAGTGAAAATCTAATCTTTCAAGTGTCAAAAAAAATATCCAATCATTTACCTCAATATGTTTTGTTTTCCATTATAGTGATATTAGTAACAAAAACCATATCAATATATTGATATCTCATTTTTCCTCTCCCTAGGTAAGAATTATTTGGCAATATTTTTATCCGATTCAAATTATTAATGTTGTCATTTTGCTAAAAAAATCATCAATATTATCATTAAATTCCTAAACTATATTCTTTAATTGATGAAAATAGGTGTTGATCATCATGGTACTAACATGACAATTATTGTAATAACGTGACAATCCATGATGATGCAGTAGTAACATGTGAATTATGACATGATAATAGAGTTTAATTATATATTTTTTTTAAAAATTGAGAGCTTAATTTTTTAAAAAAAAATAAATAGCTATTTAATATTTAAATAAAAAATAATATTGCTAAAATAGTTCAAATAAAAAAATTCAATATCATTATTAAATATCTTTAATATTTTTTCTATATCAATATTACAACAAAAATGACCTACTAAATTTCTTTGATTTAAAAAGGATAAAAATTTACCTGCACTAAAATAACATTCAAATAATATTGTTTTGAATCTTAAATTTGTTTCTAGTTCCAATTTTAGATCTAAATGTCTTTATTGCTCAAAATTTGTCTTTACCGGTATTTTTTGGGGGTTAATTGGTTAATTTATTATTCATAAGAGAGAGAAGCTTGTTTTTTACATATTAAAAAATTGTTTCATCTCCTTGCTATTTATATATTAAAAAAAAAATTTCTCTTAAACAAGTGTCGTTTTAAAATGTTAGGATCTGACTGATGAAGGATTAAAGTTTGTGGGACAAAGAATTTTATGTGCCAACTTGACCAAGCTGATACTGATATTTTTCTTATTGTTATTTTTGTTATCGGATCCATTAAAATGGAACTCTGATATCCATAACATATATTGTCAGTTCTTGTTCCATCATAAATGTTATTTATTCAAATTTTAAAGTCGTTGTTAAAATTTGAATTTAATAAAACCCTTCTCATAGATTACTTAATTGAACAGGGCTAAGCTCTTCAAAGCATGGTGATAAACATTGCTTCAAATTTTGAGCAGCGTCGTGAAATGTTCTTTGGGTGAGTTGGGTGGATAATTGTAAACATGTGTTGGCTGTTGGATGCCTATATTTTGTGCTTTCTATGTGGTACTTTTTTAACGAGGCTCACAGTAAATTTTGTTATTAATAAAAGAGTAAGCCGAGAAAAAATTACTTAATTGAATTGAAGAACAATTAATTATTTTTTCCATTACTTCAATCTACAAGCCCCTATTGGACGAAATTGAAGTCAAATCATTAATTGAAACCACAAATTAATCATTTCTAGATAGTCATGATTTATTACTTTCATCCACAATTGATTTACCACTAGTTGAAATAGCACCCCCATCGTTAATTATTAGCTTCGATTAGCTAATAAAATATTAATACGAAAATTATAGGTAATTATTTATTAACCTTTCAACTATTATAATTTTAAATATTTTAAAGGAATTGATGTGTGGCGTGTTATACTCTTCAATAGTATAATTTGGCATGAAAGAAATTATGAAACTAAAAAAGTTTACAAATTGCATGTTGATAGTCCAAAAGAATTACATGATCAATAATACTTGGGAACTAATCAACTTAAAACAGAAGAAAATAAAATGACATAAGGTGGTATAGGTAGGTTTCTACATTCTAAGATATATGTTAGTTATATACCTAATCACTTATTCTAAGATTTCTACATTCTAAGATATATGTAGTTCAATTTAAGATAACTTTTTTTTTTTATTAATATGAGATAAATACAAGGTATTATCTGTTCAAATATAACTTTTAACCATTTGACATTAAACGCTCACACCTTTGATATTCTTAGTGCTCAAATTCGAGACCTCAAGATATAACAACAATTCCTTTACCATCGAGTTCGTTTGATTTATATATTCTACAATGGTGATAAAAGGTGTATGATCTGTTTGTTGGTGGACTGCCCCTTTGAATAGGAAGTATGGGATATAGTTTTATTGAAGTTTAATCATAATTTTTTATTATGACCCGTGATATATAATGTTAGATTTAAAAATATGATCATGAAAATTCATTGGCTTCTATTATTAGTAGATTAATTTTAAATTCTCTTATATATTATATGTGATAAAAGAGGAAAGACAGATTACATAAAAAACGTCTAAGAGAGACTTATGGTATTTTTAATCTTATCAGAAAAAATAATTTAAGATAAATTAGTTCATAGTAAATTTGAAATGTATCTTTCATTGATCATTAGTTATTAGAATTATGCAAGTTGTAATTTTATAGTAAATTTGTTTTAAATTTAAATAAAATGAAATTATTTATGAAAATAAATTTTGAACAAACTTACTTGAATATTAGCCCCTAGAGTTGACAATGTTACTCGGTGCTCAACGCCCAACTTTAGGCCAACCATTCTAAGGTAAAGACAACTCAACCATTAATATATATTATATTTTTAAATAGTATATAAGGATTACAAGGTAATGATTGTTCAAAAAAAATTTAGTTATTGATAACGTACACATATCATGCAAATACAATTACTCAAATCTGAAACATCTAAGAAAAACAACAATTATTTTTTTCACTAATATCGCTTTATGAATTTAATATCATTAATAGAGTGAAACCTAGCAATCGGAGCTTACTTTAAGCCCAAATCTCAATTTGGGCTACAACCACAAACCATTAATCTGTTTGAGATACTCTCCACTGCGTTCTGTATAACTAGACTCGGCATACATGGTAGCTCAAAGCTCCACTAATAAATATATATAGTATTGATTTGGTAAGACAACAAAGTAGAAAGAGATAATAAAATGATGATCAATGGTGTAGTTTATCCAAATATTAATTGATTTACGAGAGATGATAGGTGGTAGTTGACTTTTGTAAGTGAAATGAAGTGCATCCGTCAAGCACAGAAAAAACAAATAGTTAAATAATTCATTTAGATCGAAGTGAAGCTGTCCATTATTTATGAGAGTGTTGGATATTTAAAAGGAAAATGGTTAAATCCAAGGTAAGAAAATCAAAATAGTTAATCCCATGAATATTAAAAAGAAGTGTTTATTTATAAATTATATAAAAATTCCAACAACCTATTCAACAAGATTAAAATGTGTTAGAAATCAGGTTAAGATTGAAGGAAGAATCAAGAATGATAAAGAAACTGTGCAATTTATTGAATCATAAAACTCTCTTTTTACAGCGCTAATCACTTGTAATAACAAACTAATGACCGTATCAGACTTTGAAGATTTTTTTTTGTTACTTTCAGTTTTTTCCTCTACATTTTACTTTCCGTGTAGTAGACGTTTGATAATTTCTCACACACGTAGATGGAGGACCGTATTCTTTGATCATGTCGAAGGCGGCGCTGGTGACGGAGGCAGTGGTGGTAGTGGCACCGGATAGTGATGAACAGCCCTATTCATAGTAGGGGAAGGCGGTGAGGGAAGATTTACGCGGTGCTTTGGAAGCAATTCGTACTTGGAAGATCCAGGAAAAGCTTCAATGGCTTCCACCCCGAAACAGGCATCGGATGTCAACAGCCCCAAGATTAGAGACACTGCGAGGAACCCTGATATGGCAGCCATTGTTGCTGCTTAATTGCAACATCAGACTGCTAATAGATGCCCCCTTTATATGCTTCACAATCAAACGCTGTACTAAATTTTTTACTCAGTTAAGAGTGTTTAAGACATTATTTTATTATCATTTTAGAAAAATATATATTTAATATGATACTTTAATTTCATTTCAAAAGCAATACATTAGTTTTCATTTTTTAAATGTTACCATTTTATCGATCTTCGAATCAGCACAAACTAATTAATCAAGTTCGAACACGATTTCTGTAAAATTATTTCAACATTCATTGTTAAATAATTAAAAATCTATATATTTTGTTATGATTATTCTAAATCAATAAAAATATCTTCAGTGAACCGGTTAGTCAAATCGCCAACACATGTGTAGGAAGTTGGATTCCAACCATTGTTTTGAAAATCGGATCGGATCGGTCGGTTCAATCGGTTTAACCGGAAATCGTTGCCTAATCCGGTTCAATCTAAACCGGTTGAACCGCTACTAGTAAACCGACCAGAACCGCTGAACCGTTCGAACCGGACCGACTGAAACCCGGAAAAAATCGGAAATTTTTGTTGTTTTTTTTTTAAAATAAACCAAACGTCGTTTGTTAAACGAGCCAAGTCGAACTCGAGTATTGTTGAGCTCGACTCGAACTTGAAAACTTTAAAAGTAAGCTCAACTCCACTCAAACTCACAAGTTAAAAATTATCAAGTTCAACTCGAACTCGAAATATAATATTGAAACTTAAACTCAAAAAGCCTTGAACTAAAAAAAAATTTAGAAGCTCAATTGAAGCCTAAAATTCGAGCTTGATTGAAGTGAAAGAATAGTTCACTCAATGCTCACAAAAAAGCTCCATGATTTTAAATGCCAAATTACCTATATTATTTATAGAAGTTAGTTGTGATGCTCTTCTATGTTTCTTAGCAATGTGGGATTGTTTTGTTCTCATATTTTTACTCTTTAGACTTTTGGGATGCTCTTCTATGTTTCTTAGCCATGTGAGATTGTTTTTAAAAAAAAATTAAACCAAACAATATCATTTTGTTATGATTTTTTTAGCCCCAAATTTATTTTTTAATTATAGTTATATAATTATATTTATTATTTAATATGTTTTACCTTAAATATTATGTTATAGTTAATTTGAATCATTTTGTTTCACTTGATTTTATGGTTTTTAATTTATATATGCTATAACTTGCT